GTCAGATGCTCAACCAACTAACTGTGCCACCCACTTGCCTGTACAATGCCATTTTATACCATGAGCAACTCTTCAGAGGTGGAATGACAATAATGGTGATGGGATGATGATAATAATGATGGTGATGATGGTGGTGGTGGTGATGATGGTGATGAAGATAATGATGTAAAGCATTCATCTATTTACCATTAGTTGAGATGTTCTGTTTCTTCTCTCTGGCACCTGGGTCCCCCTAAGCCTATTCAGACTTTCTTTTTCCTACTCAGAGCTCTTTGGCTTTCAGGGAAAACTCTTAGGGTCTCTTTTTAGTGAGAAAATATGATGCAACAGGCAAGATGTTGCTCCTCTGATGAGCACATAAAGGAAGCTCCATGTTTTAGCAGTTGTAGCTGTTGCCAAGCTCTCGTTCTCAGAAACGAGAAATCTTTCAGTACCTTTGCCCATGCAGCTCTCCCACATTCTCCCCAGGCCAAAGAAGACCTCACATGGACCTACATTCATAGGATGCAAGGGGATTTATTCTTTTTGGGAACTCCAGAGTCCTGGGCCTTATCCCAGGCCTTGGAGCTGCTGACCCCCTCACTCCAACCCAGCTGGAGAGTGAGAGTCCTGTGGCTGTTCTCTTTTCTAGAGATTCCAGAGAAGCTCACTATTCCACATATGCATTCCAGGGCCTGCCATTGGACCCTCCCTCCTGGCTGCCCCTTAGCTCAGGAGGTGGAATTGAACACAAGTTGGGAGGAGCATTCAGGCCACCCCTCCCACCCCTCTACCAATTTTTAAACACATGGTGGCCATCTGTTTACAAATTTTGATCTTGCTTATTTTTAGGAACTATATGTTATTTCATCTATATGGCTGTACCTTAATTTATTTAACCTGACCTTTTCCCAGGTTTTAGATTGTTATACAGTGTATTGTCCTTATGAATTCTTCATCATCATGCCAGTGTTATTATTCTAAACTTCTAGCAATGGGTCCCCAAAGCTCCATGATAATGATAATAATGTTAGAAATTATTGAATGTCTATGATATGTTAGGGCCTTCCTTATATGTGTTAGCTTATTCAACATTTATCACAGCCCTATTTTTTTCATGATTTTATTTTATTTTATTTTTTAAGATTTATTTATTTGAGAGAGAGAAAACAAGAGACAGAGCACAGGTGGGGGCAGGAGAGGGGCAGAGGGAGAAGCAGACTCCTGGCTGAGCAGGGAGCCTGACCTGGGGCTTGATCCCAGAACCCTGGGATCATGACCTGAGCTGAAGGCAGATGCTTAACTGACTGAGCCACCCAGGCACCCCCCTGATTTTACATATAAGGAAACTAAGTCTCAGAGGGGTTGAGTTGTTCAAGGTCACATAGCTAGTAGGAGATAGAGCCAAGTTTCAGAGTTCTCATGCTTTCATCCGTTTCATACTGTACATGTGGAATACACTGGGTCGGGTTTCCAATCCATCTTCTGCAATTTACTTGCTGTACTTCCCCTGACATGTGACATTAACTTCCTGGGACCCAGAATCTTCTATTACAATAATCTCTGCCGTGCCTCCCTCCCAGGAGGTTTCAGAGGACAAATGAGTTCATGTATGTGGAAGCACTTCAAAAACTATAAGGTGTCATACAAATGTAAGGGATAATTAAGAGATTATTAAGTACACAGATAAACTTGTTTACCTCAAGCACCTGAGCCCTTTGACAAATATAAAGTATGTCCAGAGACCTTATCAAATCCCCAAATTGGACTCAGCATAATAATTGCATAAACACAGACACAAAGTTATTTATAAAGATACAAAGCTATTTGTAAATGTCGTCCAGAGCACTTACTTGTTCGGAGGATTTTGTGAATCACCTTTTCATAATTTCTTTTGACTGAATGAAGAGCTAATTCTGGTCCACTGCTGAATTCTACATTTTCCTCTTTATTTGTTCCTTAAACAGAAAAATTTCTATTTCCTGTTTAAGAAACACAGCTTTCTGAAGCCTCTGCAAATCCTTTTCACTTCTGTCATAAAATTTGTGTTTTGTCTTCTTGCAGAAAAAGACATTTTCATAAAGAAGACGTTCTTTTTCATCAACTATTGCAGGATGACGGAGTACTAAGTAATATGTTGACTCACAGGTGATAAGATTCATGCCTCTGTAAATGACATGCTGCATATCATTAGCACTCAGGGACCTCAGGGAGTTGAGGTCCTTGCATACCCTGGTTCTGGGGCAGAAACTAGGGATTCTGAAAGTCTCCACTGTGCTTGGTGACTTGAGCATCTTGGCTCCCTAACTTCCCTAATGTGGAAGTTTCTTGACACAAAGAATGCATCTTTTCCACCTTTGGCTTCCTCTTCCAAAGTCCCAGGTATCTGGCATTTTCATGAGTATGCAGAGGTTATTTGCAGAACGGGAAGACATAACATCACAGATCACTATTTCTTTTTTTTTTTTTTGTATACTTTTTTAATTGGAGTTCGATTTGCCAACATATAGCATAACACCCAGTGCTCATCCCGTCAAGTGCCCCACTCAGTGCCCGTCACCCAGTCACCCGGTCCCCCCGCCCACCTCCCCTTCCACTAACCCTTGTTCGTTTCCCAGAGTTAGGAGTCTCTCATGTCCTGTCACCCTCTCTGATATTTCCCACTCATTTTATCTCCTCTTCCCTTTAATCCCCTTCACTATTTTTTAAATTCCCCATATGAATGAAACCATATAATGTTTGTCCTTCTCTGATTGACTTACTTCACTCAGCATAATACCCTCCAGTTCCATCCATGTTGAGGCACATGGTGGGTGTTCATCATTTCTAATGGCTGAGGAATATTCCATTGTATATATACACCACATCTTCTTTATCCATTCATCTTTTGATGGACACCGGGGCTCCTTCCACAGTTTCGCTATTGTGGACATTACTGCTATAAACATTCAGATAAAGGGCTAGTATCCAAGATCTATAAAGAACTTATTAAACTCAACAGCAAAGAAACAAACAATCCAATCATGAAATGGGCAAAAGACATGAACAGAAACTTCACCAAAGAAGACCTACACATGGCCAACAAGCACATGAGAAAATACTCTGCATCGCTTGCCATCAGGGAAATACAAATCAAAAACACAATTAGATACCACTGCACACCAGTGAAAACGGTGAAAATTAACAAGATAGGAAACAACAAATGCTGGAGAGGATGTAGAGAAGGGGGAACCCTCTTGCACAGTTGGTGGGAATGTGAACTGGTGCAGCCACTCTGGAAAACTGTGTGGAGGTTCCTCAAAGAGTTAAAAATGGAGCTACCCTACAACCCAGCATTTGCACTGGTGGGGATTTACCCCAAAGATACAGATGCAGGGAAAAGCTGAGACACCTACACCCCAATGTTTATAGCTATAATGTCCACAATAGCCAAACAAATCACTGTTTCTATCACTCACCCCTCTCTAATCAGAGACAGAGATCCAGCGAAAGAGAGAGCAGGGCTCCAGTCGGCCCTGTGTGGAACCTCGCTACTTGAGTCAGTCGTTTGCAAGCTGATTTTTACTTTTTCCACCTGGTGAGGACAGTTTGGGGACAGGATCATCTTTAAGACTTGCTAAAATAATCCAACAAGGAGGCCATTAAGACTGAAGTGACTTAGGAAAGCAAACCAAAATAGAAGCCTGTAAATGCTTCAAGGTTACAAAATCAAAATGCTAAAAAGACAGCCAATCACAGACAGCCAGCTAGCCTATATAAGCTATAGCCAATCAATTTCTTTTCTTTGCTTGGGGCACTTTCTCTATATAGGTCTTTTCCTTGGTCCACTCCAAGGAGCATTCTTAACCACTTCTGGTTTGACACGTCCCAATTTGAATCCATTTTTGCTCAAATACTGCAAACTCTTACAATTTTTAATATGCCTCAGTTTACCTTTTAATGGACCATGGTTCCCAAATCTGGCTAGTCACCTGGTGAAGAGATAACCTGAGCTCCTTCCAGGAAGTTCTGACTCACACTTCATCTGGGACAGGTATGAATCTGTAATAAGGTCAGCTAACTCCTAGCAAGAACTTTCTTGGGTCTCAGCAGTGTGCCAGGTGTTTTATGAGTTCATGTTTTCGGTTTATGCCTTCATAACCATAGGAGGCAGATGCTATCATCGCCCTCATTTTGCAGAAATTAAAGCTAAAAACAGGGGATGTTAGGAGGATGGGTGGGAGTTGCTTATAAACTGCAACCAGTAAGGGATTGCAACCAGAGCTGAGATTTCAGCTCAGACCCAGCAACTGCAGACCCCTATCACTGTGCTACATAAAAGACTTTTTTTTTTTTTGGCGGGAGGGGAGTGGGGGGGCGGGGGGTAGTTAGTTTCTGGTGATTTGGATGGTTAGCCAGCTTTTAGAGAAGACAGAAGCCCAAAGGCCATGCCACTCTCAAAGGGTGTATGTGTCTGAAAATGTGTGTCCCCTTCCCCCGCGTTTCTGGAAGGAAAATGGTTTAGGAACAGCATTCTCTGTAAACCTAAGGCGAGCAGCTGCACCTCCTATTGGCATTTTCGGGCTACACAAAGTTCACTGGGCTAGCCTCCTGCTCTCGCAGGTTGACCCAATCTGGGAGCCCAGGGAGCATCTTTCTGTACACCTGGCACTTCTGGTCCCTCCCCGTTTCGCCAAGCCCCCAATCCCAAACCCGTTCGCCGTGATTGACGTGAGCCCGGAGCAATTATAACCGGTCATGGCGGACGGCCGCTCCGCCTCCCCAGCGGCCCCGCCTCCCTTTCATTCTGAAAGAAAGAACCTCATCCCCGGCGCCCAATGAGAAGCGCCCCCACCCCACAGGTCCCGCCTCTTTCGGCGCCGATCCCGCCCCGAGGGCGGGGGGACGCCCGCCTCCCGGCGCGGCGCGGCCCAATCGGAGGGCGCGTTCCCCCGGATGGACGGCAGCCGGCCCAATCGGCGGGCTCCGGCGGCGCGCGCCCCGCCCCTCCGCCGGGGCCGAGCGGCGGGCGAGAGCGGGCCTCGGGGCGGCGGCGGCGGCGGACGGGCGGACGGACGCGGCCTGAGGGAGCGGCCGGCTGCCGCGCGGGGCTCGCCTCGCCCGCGGCGGGGTCCATGGCCTGAGCGGCCATGTCCGGCGTGGTGCGGACCCTCAGCCGCTGCCTGCTGCCGGCCGAGGCCGGCGGGGCCCGCGAGCGCAGGGCGGGCGGCGGCGGGGCCCGCGACGCGGAGCGCGAGGCGCGGCGGCGCAGCCGGGACATCGACGCGGGGCTGGCCCGGGAGCGGCGTGCCGTGCGGCGCCTGGTCAAGATCCTGCTGCTGGGCGCGGGCGAGAGCGGCAAGTCCACCTTCCTCAAGCAGATGCGCATCATCCACGGCCGCGAGTTCGACCAGAAGGCGCTGCTCGAGTTCCGCGACACCATCTTCGACAACATCCTCAAGGTGCGCGCGCCTCCGCGGCCCCGCCCGCGCACCTGCGGCCAGGTGTGCCCAGGTGTGCCCAGGTGCGCGCAGGTGCGGGCCCGGGTCTGGCCGCAGCTCCCGGCGGCCGAGTGCCCCCGGCTTTGGGGTGGGGGTGAGGGGGGGCCTGGGGGGGGCGCGCTGACCTGGGGGGGACCTGGCTTGGCTTGGTGGGGGTTGGCCTGGGGAAGCTCTGACCTGGGGGAGCACTGCCCTGGGGGGGGGCGCTGACCTGGGGGAGCACTGGCCTGGAGACGCACTGCCCTGGGGTGGGGGAGCTGACCTGGGTGGGTGCTGGCCTGGGGGCTTGGTGCTGGCCTGGGGGGGGCCCTGACCTGCGGGGACACTGGTCTGGGGACGCATTGCCCTGGGGACTTGGTGCTGGCCTGGGGAGGCCCTGACCTGGAGGGAGCGCGCTGGCCTGGGGGCGGCGCTGACCTGGGGGCGCTGTCTTGTGGGGGACCTGGCTTGGCTTGGTGGGGGTTGGCCTGGGGAAGCACTGCCCTGGGGGGGTGCTGGCCTGGGGAGGCCCTGGCCTGGGGGCGGGGGGTGGGGGTGGGTGCTCACCCGGTCTCCGCGGCAGGCGGACCCTGGCATCCGCCTGTCCCTTCTCGAGGGCTGGGGGCACGCAGAGGCGGAAAAGCCGGCCGGCCTGGGCGGATTGGGAGGGCCCGGTCCTGGACACCGTCGGGGACGCGCCCTTGCAGGATGGCTTCTGCGCGCTTCCCACACTGCCCGCCCCCTGGGGTCCGGGAGCCTTTCTTTTCCTTGCCCTCCCACGAGCGGTGTGGACAGGAGGGCAGGCCCGCCGCAAGTCTCTCCTGTGTGGAACTGCCTGTTAGGAGAATTTCAGACCGACACAAAGTAGCGACTAGAACAAGCCCTGCGTACCCACGCCCCCTCCCCCAACGCCGGCGCTGGTCTGCTCCTGAACGCTGCTTTCACCTAGACCCCTGCCCCGTGGCTTGAAGCAAATCGCAGACCTCGTATAACTTCGTTAGAAAGTATTTTAAGCGTATGCCGCCAGCAGATAAGGCCTCATTTTAAAAACAACCACGGTACCCTTATCAGACCTAAGAATTAGTTACTCCTTGCTTAAATATCCTCGGATACCCAGCCAGTGTTCCCATTTCCTCCGCGGCCCTGTAATTGTTTTGTTGCTCTGCATCAGGATACAAATTAACTCCTTGCTTTGCAACTTTCAGTGTGTCTCGTAAGTGGTGTGTAATCGATCGTCTGGCTCTCTTATTCCTTGTTCCTCTTATTCTTGGAGGGGGAAAGTGGGGAGGGGCACAAAACCTGTAGAGTTGACAAAGTCTGGGTTCTAGTCTCTTTCTACTGTGAGTCTGTGCCAAGGGGCCCCAAAGAAAGGGAATCTGGAGAAAATTGATCACGAGCAGCAGAAAGTAAATTCTCTCCTACACCTAAGGTCATTTCGGGGGTTTTCTGGTTGTGTTTTTTAGTTTCTCCCTACTCCCTACTCGCCCTGCCCTCTCACCTACTCTTTTCCCAGGCCCATTTTCGGGAAAGCAAATTACAGGTATGTCTCAAAGCAGAGGTAGAGGAGAGTTTGTCATACCAGACAGCTGTCTGGAGAGTACATTTTATGGTGCCCCAAGGGACTTTAAATTTAGCAGAGGGCTGTAGAAACCCATCTAGGACATTTCTTTCACTTCACCCATGAGAAAGACGCTCCAGGCCTCGCAGGAAAGTGGCTCCTCGTTGGGATCTGAGCACTGGAACTCTGGGTCTGAACTCCCAGGCCTTCCTCCTTCCAGGCTTGCACTGGCATTCCCACTTTCTGTATTTGTTATTAAAATAATTTATTTTAATAGAAATAGCTCTTTTAGAATCTTGCCGGGAATGAAAGGAAGAGAATCATTTGAATGATAAAACCCTCCTTTCCTTTTCACCTCTTTCAAAAGCCTCTCTGTGAGTCAGCTCTGGCCAGTACTTCATCAACTTTAAGGCTAGGAGCCCAGTGTGATTCAAGGGATCCACTGTGTGCTTAAAATTCCCCTCATCTTCTGGGGTAAAGTGCATGTCATTGTCTTTCTCTATCACAGAGCCAGATTGTATTTTTGCTGCTTTTCTGAACCTCCAAACCAAGCAGGTATAAAAATATGAGGATTTGGCTGACTCCTTCCCACTTTCTTTTAACTCTGGAGGTGGAGAAAATGTTTAGAAACATAGACTCTCAAATCTAAGTCGTTGTGTTGAGTGCATTTTAGAAAACTCAGTCTTAACCTTTTCCCGTTGCGCAGAAACAGTAACTTGTACTGCCTTCCCAATCAAAAGAAATAAAATTTGTTAGCATCCTATTTTCCTTCCCAACCTTTTACTAACTGTAGTTCTATTTTAAATTCACTTTACCTGTTGTGACTATTTCAATAACTAGTTGGAAATTCATCTTCCAATTTTTTTTTATGTTCCAATTTTTAAAACCAAAAATTCTTCTTTTTGCCACACCATTTTTAGACCAATCGATTTGGGAATAGACCTTTTAAATTAATTGCTTTGTAATGGCTTTAGTAATGGACATTTGAATGATACTGTTTAGCGTGATATCTATGTCTTCACATAGATTTGGTGTTAACAGGCTGTTTTTGAAGTACTATGTGTCATGCACATTGCCCTGTCCTTCGTGAGTGACATTTAGTTTTTATCATGCTTTAGATGGTATTGTCCCATTTAGCCAATGAGAGAATTGAAGGTAGTTTAAAATCTACTCAAGGTCAGCTACCTAATTTAGTAGGTGGCAGAGCGGGGAACAAAACCTAGTCTTAAAAAAAAATTTTTTTTTTTTACTTTAATTGTGGGATAATTGTGGAGTTCCATCCAGTTGTAAGAAATAACACAGAGCCCATGTACCCTTTACCCAGTTACCTTCCATGGTAATACCTTGCAAAACGGTGATACAGTATCACAACCACAATATTGACAATGCAGAATCAAGATACAGAATATTCCCATCACCTTTAAGGATCCCTTATGTTGCCTTTTATAGCCACTCCTTTCTGCCCTTCCCTGACTCTGGTGATAACTGATCAGTTCTCCAATTCTATAATTTTTATTCATTCCAGATTATTATGTAAATGAAGCCATGCAGAATGTGACCTCTTTTATCATTCTGCAAAATTCCCTGGAGAATCACACATTATTGTGTGTGTATTGAAAATCAGTAATTTGTGCCTTGTGTTTGCTGAGTGGCATCCATGGTAAGGATTTACCACAGCCCACCATGTAACCATTCACCCATTAAAAGGCTTCTGGGTTGTCCCAGTTCTCTGCCTGTTATGAATAAATTTGCTATGAGCTTTCACCTACATGTATTTGTACATACACACATTTTCCTCTATCTGGAATAAGTGCCCAGGAGTGCAGTTGCTCAGCTGTATGACACTTACATGGTTAATGTTACAAGAAACTGCCAAACTTTTTAGAGTGCCTGTGCAGTTTTACATTCCCACCAGCAACGTCTGAGTGATCCAGTTCCCCCACATCCTCGCCAGCATTTTGATGTCCCTTTTTTATTTCAGCCATTCTAATAGGTGTGCAAGAGTTAGCTCATCACTGTTTTAATTTTCATTTCCCTAACAGCTAATGATGGAAAGTATCTTTTCTTGTGCTGATTTGCCATCCATATATCCTCTTTGGTGCAATGACTCTTCATGTTTTTTATCTATTTTCTACCTAGGTTCCTTGTTTTTTTATTGCTTGTTGTTCATTGTGTTTTATTGTTGGTGAGTGTTTTGAGAGGGTTTTATTTATACATTTTAGATTCTGGTCTTTTGTCACGTATTATGTTTTACAAGTATTTTCTCCCAGTTTGTAGCTTTCCTTTTCATCCAGAGCAAAACTTTTTTTGATGAAGACAGTTTATCCGCTTTTTTCCTTTATAGACAATGCTTTCGATATCAAGACTAGGAACTCTTTGCCTATCCCTAGGTCCCAATATTTATTTTTTTCTCCTAAAAGTTTGGTAGTTTGGGGCACCTGGGTGGCTCAGGGTTGAGTGTCTGCCTTTGGCTCAGGTTGTGATCCTGGGGTCCCTCAGGGAGCCCGCTTCCCCCTCTGCCTGTGTCTCTGCCTTTCTCTGTGTTTCTCATGAATAAATAAATAAAATCTTTTTAAAAAATAAAAATAAAAGCTTAGTTTTACATTATACGTTTAAGTTCCTAATCCATTTTGAATTAATTATCCCATGAAAATGTGTGAGGTTTACTTGGAAGTTTATAGCTTTTGCTTTTGTTTTGTTTTTGCCTTGAATTTTCAGTTGTTCCAACACCATGTGGTGAAAAGCCTGTGCTGCTTCCATTGAATTGCTTTTGCACCTTTGTCAAAAATCACTTGGCATATTTGTATGTGCCTATTTCTGGGTTCCACTGATCTGTATATCTCTCCTGCCATTATCACATTCCATTGATTGTAGCTATTCAGTAGGCCTTAATATTAGATAGAGTGCTTTTTCCCACTTCATTTTCCTTTTTCAAGATGGGCTTAGCTATTCTAGGACCTGTGTCTTTCCTTGTATATCTTAGAATAAGCTTGTCTGTGTCTATAAAAAAATCTGGGTCGCCTGGGTGACTTAGTTGTTGAGCATCTGCCTTCAGCTCAGGGCGTGATCCCAGGGTCCAGGATAGAGTCCTGCTTCGGGCTCCTTGCAGGCAGCCTGCTTCTTCCTCTGCCTATGTCTCTGCCTCTCTCTGTGTGTCTCTCATAAATAAATAAAATCTTTAAAAAATCTTCCTGGAATTTTGATAGCAATTGCATTAAACCTATAGATCATTTTGGGGGAGAAATGACCTCTCTACTTTGTCGAGTCTTCCAGTCCATGAACATGGTATGTCTTTATTTCTGTCTTCTTTGATTTCTTTATCAGCATTTTGCAATTCTCAGACTCGGTATGTGTTTCAAGTGTATACTAAGTATCTTACTTTCCTTAGAGCAGTTGTAAATGATACTATGCTTTTATTCTCAGT